TACACTGTATAAAATCAGTTTTAATCAGAGGTGTAGCGATATCCAAGTCTCACGATACGATATCACGGTACGATATTTATTGAGATATCGTGGGAAAGCTCATGATTAGGGATGTAACAATATCCAAATCTCTCGGTACGGTATTTCTACAATATACATCTCATGGTACGATATTTATTGCGATATTTTGTGGAGGCTAATACGTTTCTTTTTCATCTTAAAATGCCTTCACAAGACTTAATCCAAAGAACTAAGACTTTAAAGTGTTAGAACTGTTATTTCCTCTTGTAGTCTACACTGAAATGAAGCAAAGGATCATGGTCTATGTAGTTCCCTCTGTCTTTTTTTTACTTATTGCTGCACCATAACTCTTAAATTAAGCAAAGAGACTTGTAATTCGATATATTGTGATGGTCCACGATATTATTGTGAGAATTCTGATGATACAGTATCATGATATTTCAGTTGTTGTTACATCCCTAGTTCTAACATATTCGGTTACACTTAAAAATATATTCTGTCAGTGTGTTTTTGACGCTTTTTGATGTCCTTGTTTTTAAATGTGGCCCTAAAAAGTAGATTTACACACTGAAAATCTGTTATCTGACCTATAAGACATGTGTGCGTTTGCTGACAGCACTAAAACAGAGTGAAGAGGTGAGGACGAGGCCAACAGTTCCTTCAGTAGCAGCTTCAGTTTCAGAGATGTTACCACCGTGAGTGACAGAAGTTCACACACAGGTCAAAAGGTGAGTAATAAGGGTAAGGGAAAGACAGAAACAAAAGAGAAAGAGAGAGAGAGACGGAGAGGGAGCGTGACAAAGAAAGAGAAGGTGGAGGAGAGAGAGGTGAAAATGTAAGAAAGAGCGTGAAAGGGCGAAAGAGAGTGAGAAGAAAGAGAGAAAGAGAAAGAAAGAGGTAAAGGGAAGGAGGGTGGCAAAGAAAGATGATTGGCAGAGGAGAGAGAGGCAAAAATATATGAAAGAGAGCAAGAGAGGAGAAGGGGATGAAGAAAGAGAAGAAGAGAGAGGAAAGAAAGAGAGGGGAAATCTAAACGTAGTATAAAAGTTATGAAAAAGATAAGATAAGATACGTTTTGAGTTTATTTTTAAAAATATGAACACTCACAGCGGACGGCAGGTGCTCAGGTCCTCAAAAAACCTGCAAAAAAAAAACTCTAGTCAAGTTACGAAATGACAATGAATTGAATTAAGAAAGTTTTATCACGATTTGAGTACATTTCACTCGACAAGTAAAATTATCTGCCAGTGGAATAAGACTTTTTGTACTTAAAACATGAAAATACAGCTTGCTACACTGAAAATAAGAAAAACAACAACTCTTTGCACTTAATATAAGAAACAAAATGAAACAAATGTTGCTTAAATTAAGAAAAACACATTAATAATTTTACTTGTCAAGCTGAATTGACTCAAATAAAGTAAAATATTCTTAATTTAAGTCATTTTAACTAACCTAGACATTGTTTTTCCAGTGTTCCATAAAGCAGATCAGATAAATAAAAAGGACTAAGACTGTTTAGAGCTTTGTAAACCAATAAAAAAATAAAAACAGGAACTTTAGTTTGCTGTGATATGCTCTCTCTTTCTGCTTGTCAGCAACGGCGCTCTAGTTTTGGAGATGTTGCAAAGGTGGAGAGAGGAGGATTAGAAAAAAGGATGGAGAGAAGGAGAAGAGTGAGGGAGAGGAAGAAACAAAAAAAGAGAGAAACAGAGGGAAAAATAAGGAAGAGAGAAGGCAGAGAGAGAAAGAAAAGAGAGCGGAAAGTGAGAGAGAGTGTGTCTTTCACTGGAGAAGCTCAACTCAGAGGTCACGGCTGGGTTCACGGGGTCAACCATCAAAACAGGTCCTGAAAACTTCCCTCTTTTCAGACTTCGGCGCGCTACGCTGCATGACACACTTTCCACAGAACTTTTACGCAGAAGGGGAACACGCTTTTCAAATGAGACAGCAGAAAAATTGTTATGCAAGATATAAAAATAGTTTATATTAGCACGTAAAATAAAATGAATATTACTCTTATCACAAGTGCAATTATTACAACTAACTCTGGATTTTCCTGAAGATTACAAAATGCTGATAGAAAACCTTAATGTGAGTGGGCTTTCCTCTCCACAGATCTGACCTGTACGCTTTACCTGTTTATCTCCATGCAAACATATACACATTTAAGAGGAAAATGTCAAAAATCAAGCAGTAACATCTCAGAAATGTTATGCAAAAGTCTAAAATGATGAAGTTATTTCTAAGATGCACTTACAACTGTTATAATCTGACTTCTTACGGCCTCTATGAATCTGCGAATGCTTTTGACATTTATTTTAGCCCGTGCCAAATTTAATAATACAAATATTGAGCTCGAAATTCCTATATTTTAGTAACACTCACACGGTTTGTATTTGAGCGCGTCTGTTGAATGAGCAAACCTTTCAGCTATTCCTCTGTCAATCTGGCCTCCATTACGCTTCTTGTCACGCGTGTTTTTCATTTGCCTAATGCGCCTCGTGTGTCTGGGGTCGTGGTGAGCAAATGACAAGGTGAAGCTAGACCCCTGATTCGTGACTTAGCATGAGGAAAACCAACAGGGAATAATGCAGGGGACTGAAAGGTGTTGGCTCTGTAATTAAGACCCCCCAAATAAGAGAAGTAACAGCAAAATTATAAACTATCCAAGAGCTAAGTGCGCGAAAAGGGCAAAGCTGCGTGGGGGGCATGTGCTCGGAGCTAAATATAGAGCCAGTAGTGCATTTGAACTTTTAATTAGCCACAAGAAATAAACTTAAGCTCACGCGGTGGTTCGAGTGGAGAGACACTGGGTTTGGGGATGCGTAATGCGTTCATCATTTCTCCATTTAAAGTTCTTAGACACTCTTAAAGTAGGGTATAACATCTGATATTTTTAGACTTGGTTATATTCAAGTAAAAGTAGTAGTACTGCACTCACATTTACAGTACAGTATACATTTTAAGTATCTGTGCGTTACTTTGCTACATTAAATTGATACTTTTTACTTTTGCTTCACTTTGAGAGCTGTACTTTCTACTCCACTACATTTCTGAAGTAGACTGAAAAGTAAAAGTATTTCTTAATATTGCATGAGACCTGCTGAGGGTTTGTTGTTTGAACACGTCCTTAGATTGAGCAAATAAAAAAATATAAAAATTAAAAAAAAAAATTATATAAATATTGTTTCTGTTGAACAAAAGCACAAATCTTTATCAAAATTTGTACATTTGAAGCTTTATAAGAGCTCAAAATCTGTGTGAAATACTTTTACTTTTTACTCTTGAAGTCCATTTTTAAACAGGTACTTTAATATATTACTTAGGTAGATTTTTTCATGTGGTACTTTTACTTTTACTTTTATTTGAGTATTTTTTTGCTCTTGTGTCTGTACTTTTACTATCTACTAATCTACTTAAAATGTATCAAATCGCTTATTGCCTCTTAGTCTTTTTTTCTGTTTTGCATCTGGAGGTGGAGGGTTTGAAACACTTGTCTTTGGGACTGATATTGCTTTGCTTTGCCTGGAAAGTTCCACAATATGGCATTAAACTTTTTGCTCATAAATCCATTCGAAAAGATGCATTCTTACGAGAAGCGGGGTCGCCTTTCCCCAGATCTGACCTATAACTTGGTCTGCTAGTGTCACTGGCTTGCTTCCATAAACATTGATAAGTTTAATGCCATACTGTGGAACATTCCAGGCAAATCAGTAACATTTCCTTGGAGATGGAGAGGTGGTGGATCCTTTAACCTGGATCTTGACTGAGAAACTGACAGTCAAATTCCATTTTTTAAGATTTTTGAATATGCTAATGTTGTAATTAGACTTATATATCTATATTACTGAAAGACCTACAGGATAACAGACGTGACTTTAGTAGACATCTTGTGATTATAGTCTGCCCTCTTGGTAAAAACGTGCACTTATCTTTTTTCTCCACTGCCAAACTCTCGTCACATGACCCGTGCCATTTCATTGCCTTTTCTAAACTGTAAATCACTCAGACTAACTTTACGTTGCGTAACATTGTACTGTGCACGTCTATTTGAAAGCTGTCTCCACATAATTGACCTCCATCCCTGAGCGTAAGTCCCCCTGTTGTCCTAATGAGAGCCGGAGCCGCGTCCCCCGCTGCGCGCACGTCTTCGCGGGCAGAAACTACAACCAGCTCCAGCCACGGCCGCGGGCACTTGCCATGGCAATGCATTCTGGGGATCACCGTTTCCCATTTGCACGTGAATGGGATGTTAGTTGAAATCGTGTTTACATCACTGGTGTTTACGGTGTTAAAAGGCTTGAAAAACGCAATGAGACGACTGGCGCCTGTTTAGACAAGACTGCTGTGAGCGAACAAAAAAGGTTTAAAGGGTTAAAGCGAGAGCGAGAGGTAGAGCAGAGAGAGAGGCAGGTGGAGGAGACGCGGTGCGCACCTACAGCGAGTTCTCCTGTTCGTAATAATGGCTTGTCTTTACGCGGAAAATGCCGCGGTACAATGGTGCCAAAGTGCGTCTGGGGTGAGAATGCAGCGGCAAGCAAAGAATAAAATGTAGGCAAAAGTATTTCCATGAGTTAATATACTTGGAATAAATAAATTATAGGTACAAGTAATTAGTGTAACTCAAGTAATGACATGCCAATAAACCTGTGGGGCTCGCTATAGTTTTGGCAAAGACGCGCTTTTGAAAGTTCCGTCAACCTTTACATATTGAGTTGTTGAGTAATTATCCTACACAATAATACTTATTATCTGAGTATTGTCATGCTTGAATTGGAGGTGTCTGTGGCTTTCCCTCAGGGCACTTCTCTCATTAGGCTTGTTCTATTGGCCGTATTACGTAAGTATCTATGGTTGCTATATTGTGCTCTGTGTTTGTAATCGCAACCCTCGCTCTCGGGGGGCGGAGCGTCGTGTTGACGTCACAGCCTGTCTTTAAAGGCTCCTCTGCAGCTCTCCGCGTGCCACACAGCGCAACTGAGCACAAACCGTCCGCTCCAGCCTCTTTATAAAAGCGCTATATTTACCGGACTCGACGCTGTTTCCTGAGCTCTCACAATTGGCCAGGAGCACGCAGCAGGAACAGTTATAAAGATTCGGAGGACGTCCTACCTCTGAAACTTGTTCATGACTTCAGACGGAGAGGACGCACGGAGATAGTCGCACTGATTCTGGCGCGGCTGAGCAAAGATAAACTGTAGAGGTTTTAGCACTATTCAACAAAACTATGGCTTTATCCGGAGTGATGCTCCCGTCTTTTTCAACGTTCACAAACCAAAGAGAAAAAACCTGGGAAAACGTAAGTGTGACTTTTCTCTCTGAGCTTTTTTGAAAACTTTGGAGAAACTTTTGGATTGAGTTTCACCTGTTGTTAGGACTTGATCCTGAATTACAGGTTCCTATGCATGACAAAAGAAACTTTTTATGTGCTTTCAAGAGTGTTGGTATGATTTTTAAAACCTTGCATTTCAATCCTAACGCAGTTTTATGTTTCTTTTCCAGAGGTGGAAGTCAGAGATGGACAAGCCAGTGTCTGGCAGCTGCTCCATGTTCAAGGACGACGAGGATCTCAGTAACTACTTAGATCTGGATTTTATTTTGGCGAACACCGCGGGATCAGACAACACAGCGGAGTTTGTGGGCTCCGCTGCGGACCAGAGTATGTTCCCGGTGGTGGAGGAGCAGCGGTCGCCTCCGCCTCCGTACGGGGCAAGCCTCATGACAGAGCTGCTGCGCTCCGACCCTCCCGCACCCGCCAACGGCAGCTACGGCATCCAGGGCCGCTTTTACATCAACACTGCGCCTTACCCGCGCCAGGACATCAAAGTAGAGCCCCCTATGGACAGTTACGGCCCCGTGATGGGAATGGTGCCTCAGAGCTGCAACAAAATCAAACAAGAAGGGAACGTTTCATGCATGATGCCTTTCGAGCAGCCGCGCGTGGCCATCTCTCCGCGCGCTGCCAGCAGCATGACCCCGCCCCTCAGTCCCGATGACCAGGGCGCCTCAGACTGCCAGCCCGCTCTCTGCCACAACATCAACTTTCAGCACAAGTTCCACCCCACGCAGCAGTTCCCCCCACAGATGCACGTGCAGTATCACGCCCCGCACGCGCCCTACGCCATGTACGACGAGAGTCTGGGTCTGCAGCCGGGAGCTCAGAGAGTAATGCTCACGCCGCCCTCCTCCCCTCTGGAGCTGATGCACGAGAACAAGCCCAAGAGAGGCCGCCGCACGTGGCCCCGGAAGCGCACTGCAACGCACACCTGCACGTTCGCAGGTTGTGGCAAGACATACACAAAAAGTTCTCACCTCAAGGCTCATCTTCGCACTCACACAGGTAAGATCAGTTATATCATAGAGCACATATAGAGCACATGATCCCATATACATACTGTGTATACTGCTGATGGTGTGTGGCCCTTGTACATGCATCTAAATGGCTCTTTCTTCTCTCTCTCAGGTGAGAAGCCCTATCACTGCAGCTGGGAGGGCTGTGGATGGAAATTCGCCCGCTCTGATGAGTTGACCCGTCACTTCCGCAAGCACACCGGACACCGACCCTTCCAGTGCCACCTCTGCGAAAGAGCTTTCTCCCGGTCCGACCACCTGGCTCTGCACATGAAGAGGCACATGTGAACTGGACTCTGACTCGGGTTCATAATTGTGTGATTTGTCTGATGTATTTTTATTTAAATTGTTCCTGAAGCGACCAAAGCCTTTTATATATTGAATTAAACTATTTGTGTTTATTATTTTTTCAAATAATGTAGCTGGTACTACTTTGGTATAGAGCTTTAGAGAAGCTGAGGGGCTGGCCCTGTAGATACTACTCTCTTTGGACACAACTGGACCTGTGTTTGACACAGAAGTGCCTTTCTGCCTGAGCTACTGTACTCACAGAACCCCACTATTCAGCAGAGTAGTGCCGACTGGACCAAAGTGCACATAGAGTTTGTGCGGAAGACAATGTTTTATTTAACTGCCTCACTCTTAATGTTAAACCAATCTTTACTTGGGTGATATGTCTCTTCCTCGTGAACCAGCCCCTCTCTACACTATCAGGGCTTGACGTCCTGTGCATTATTTTGTACTTAAATTTATATAAATATGTACATGGATTTTATACTGTAAAAACTGTATTTATTGTAAATATTAAACCAATGAAATTGACCTTTTGTCTCCTGATGTCTGCACTGCACACACCAGACTCACACTAGAGTTCACTGGCTCACAAGTGCCAGCGCACACACAGACCTGCTGCCTGTCACATCAATTAGACTAAACAGGTCAAACATGCTGCGGGTCGACCCCCAGTTTCATTGAAAACACGGCCACTTGATTTGCACTGTGATGTGTTGCAGCTGCAGCACGGGGCTTGTGGGCTTGAGCCTATAAATACAAACAGTCTATTTCCATAATTACAGACTGAAGTGCGTCGTCTGGACAGAGGGGCACAGCACTCCCTCATCAGACCGAGACTCTCTTTCTGATGGCTGGAAATTATAGTCACACATCAAAGCGCCTTAATACTACAATTACACTGCAGTTTCAAAGTAGCGCTGTCTGTACTGCACTGTCTGTGTGGTGTCACTGCAAACCACCACGGATCAGGCATATCAGGGCCAGATGGCTTTCAAAACGGCCATAAATATTACAATATCACTCACATTATGTATATTGACATGGCAGATGTTATAACAAACAAATGAAGCCTGCATGTTTAGTCAAAGGATTTATCTATCTCATGCACTTTAAGATGATGTACTTTTATGGCCTCTAGGGTGCGCTCAAACTTACATACACATCACACTGAAATTAAGAATAAAGTGGGACTGAACCTGCACTAGACTAAACCAAAACTGCAACAGGACTAAACCAGGTCTACATTAGGATTAAACTGGCAAAAGACCAGGACCAAAACTGGACAAGAGCACACCTGTAAGTCAAAAACATAAGAAAAACTTGAGTATAAAGAGTTTGAACAAAAACTAAGTACAATATGTCTTACATGTTTGATGGCAAATACATGATAGTAATAGCAGCTGAAGAAATAGTTTTAGTTGTAGCAAAAAAAAAAAAAAAGACTGAATAATACAAACATGTACAAATGCATATTAACTCAGTTGTAGTAGCAGTAGTGTAAAGAAATAAGCACTTACCGAGTACCTAAAAGTAGACGCGGCAGGCCACACACACACTGCAGTTTCCCACTACTCCAGTCAAGTTGTACCAGCTCCTATGAAGGGTGGCTTCAGTGAGGAGGATATATAACACTGAACACAACCAAATGTGACTTTAAAATGTCTATATTACGCTATTTTCTCATCTATGTTATAATGTTTCCTCATCACAAACATACCTGGAGTTGTGTTTTGTTTCATTCACACAAGTTTAACACACAAATCCTGCATATTTAGGCTGTGCTCTTCTCTGAAATACATTGTTTTTATACTCCATGCACCTTCACTAGAATCATTTGGATGATTTTTGCCCTGGAATTGTCAATCTCTACTAAACAAAAAAGGTAAAAAGTAGCTTCTAACTCAAAAACTACCGCTTCATGACATCACAAGGTGGAACAGAGCATTTTGAGCTTTGGAGATATACACAGGCTAATAATAAAGGGTTACTCAAGCATGTGTGAATGAAACAAAACACAACTCAACAATGATTCCTGGAGTAATAATATTTTAAAGTTACAAAGCTTTGAGTTCAGTACTAAAGCTGAATAGTACAGCAGAAAAAAACACCTTTATTGTTCATAGTAGTGGAATGAGTAGTAGAAATAGTGGCAGTAGTATCAGTGGTATTTTTAGTATGGCATTAAGTAACAAGTACTTTCTTAATAAATGAAAATAAGCATTGCAAAGTTTATCTGGCCATTTTAGGGTGAATAGACAGATAAGATAGAATAGGACAGAATAGGAAAAGAGCTGTCAAGTAATATTATATATCATATATTATATCCAGAGTCTGTGTGCGGTCCCAACGCGTTCCTCAACACCACAATTTCTAACCAAGTTAAAAGAGGAAGAAAAACATAGGTCAAAAATATCTTCAGTACTTGATGCAAATAGTTTGGTTTTCATTTCACTTTTTTCCAACAAAAATGGAGAACTCAGAAATAAATAGTTCACATGGTAAAATTTCTTATAGCTTTATGATAGATTGAATGCTTTTACATGTAGTTAATAACATGGGAAACTATAGGCTCGAATCATATTCTCCCTTCACATCGCTATGACTAATGCAATATGATTATGTGTTTGGAAACCATTGTTATGTCATCTATTTTTAACCTTCACAAAAATGCAATCTTTTGTTACCACTGAGTCACTACATGTTACAGTAATTTGTTAATTATTTTTTATTCATTAATTGTTATAATTACAAACATACTGTGCACTGTTATGTAACAAACATAGATAAATAAAACGAATATTGCCCTAAAAACTGTGCAAATAGTCTGAGAAAATTAAACCTGAATGATGCAAGCCCTTCAAACTACCCCCAAGTTGGTCTTAACTCAATATTTAAAAAAAAAAAAAAAAAAAAAAAGAAACGGAACGAAAGCAAAAAGATTGATAGTTTAGGTGACAGTTGCAAGAATTAAAATGCCAAGAAGTCTTAATATCTATGTATAGCACCAAAATAAACAACTTTGGTTCACAGAAATCTATTCTCGGAGTATAAACGCAATGGGTGTTACAATACAAACTATTCATGAGGACTCAACTAAAAGGAATGATCATAAATGCTATTAATCCTACCTACAAACAGCAAAGTATAATTTCAAAGGGATCCCCAAAGCCCTTTTGTTCACGACGATTTAAGCTCACAAAAAATATGCAGACACCAATCAGGAACAATGTTATAAGCACCAGTCTAATTGCTAGGTTGTTGCATGATAATTATAAATGTTTTGTTTATTAAAAGAGAAGTGGAAAGGTAAAATGAATATTGTCATGTTTTTTGCGTCACACAGAAAACAAGGTCTGATTCAACGTTTGGGGTTTCACTTTTGGCTGTTTTGCATGAAAATACAACGTAATTAATCACAAGTTATGACTATTTGGGCATGTCATGATGGATGAAGATCTGTTCGTCACTGCATTCTTATAATGTTATGCCTGATATGTACACTACATAAAAGGAAAATAAAAGCTTCAAATTTCCAACCCTGAAGGCATGCGTGGTAAAATATAATAATTAAGTTTTAAAAAATATATTCCTAACTCATCCTTACTAATGTTAACCATTCGACTTTCTACATAAATGATTAAAAATATCACAACTGTTATAAAACATAGTGCATTTTACAAGTCCTTCATAGACTAAAGGATCCATACTTCTGTTTAAATACAAAAAAAAGTTAAATAGTTAAAAAGTTATTTCAGAAACATACAGTACTGTGCAAAAGTTTTGGAAAGTGTTTTAAAAATATGATAAACAAAGATGGTTATAATAAAATTTGCAAACTTAATTTTCAGTTTAAATAAAAAATGAAACAAAAATACTAATGTACGGGAGTGTTTTAAGGGTTGAACCGCCAAAATAACGTATAGATTTTAATTTTTTTCTGTGAAGATCTGTTATATTTGTTTGTTCTTTGCATTGATTTCAAGTAAAGCCTTATTTCATTTTCAAATTATAAATTCTAATTAAAATAAAAAGGATATTCTCCAGTTGATTTATGCTTTCTGGGAACTTCTAGATTTGAATTTGTTTTTCTTTTTAATTTTGTGCATTCTGTCCATACATTTACTCATCTCCAAGTCTGTCATTCCTTCCAGAAACCTTTGCACAGTGCTATAGTGGCTTGAGACTTGATTAACCATTATGGAGATACAGTGTAGTGTTAGATGGAGTTTGCTGTAGGTGGGGTTGAGTTTAAATCCCAGTGTTTTTGAAGGCAGCTTTTCAATCAGGCGGCTCCGTATTGTCTTTGATTACTGTTACCATGTACTTTGGGCCGAACTGAAGCCTAACGAGTAGCTAAAGGAGAGAGCTCTGACATCAGACTGGTGGCACGGCTGGAGAAAACACTGGTCTTTTGCACAAATTGGTAACAAAGATGATGGTTATGCGGAGTCGCGTCTGTCATGAGGAGCAGGGCGCAGGACATGGTGGAGGTGGTTTTCCGGGGGGCCAGGAAGGAGAAGTTTTTCAGGATTTGTGCATGGGAATATCGGCTCTGCTCAAAGCCAGGGCCAGTTCCAAGTCTTGCTGTTCTTGAAGTCGAAGTCTCCTCAATCTCTCCTGCTCCTCGCGTTCACTCTCGCGCTTGGCCCACTCCAGCTGGGCGCTCTCACTTCCGAACTGGAAGAAAAGAAATTTACAATAAGTGACAAAAACTACAGTGCAGCTAAGTCAAAATAGCAACATTAAAACAAGGAAAAAGACATGATTTGAAGAATATCGTTTGAAATTTAAACTTGACTTGACTGCAAACATATCAGAATGATTTTCGATGTGTGCAAGAACCAGATATTGATTCTTTGGGGAAATGTTTTTAGATTTATATGATTGTGGTAATATGACAGTAAACTAAATAGGTACTGAATCTATAAATGAAAACCTAGCCTGGCCAGTCAAACCTATCTCAACTAATTTTTCCATTATGAAATTGATGTAAGAATATTGCATACACAGTGACGCTTAGTATAATCAACACTACTGAAACGCCTATTCTACAAAACTCACAATAATTCACTTAGTTTTATTGATTTGCTTTTTAAAGGTGCACTATGTAACTTTTCTGGTGCACGTCCACCACCATCTTGTCTACATGATGCTGCCAGTGGTCCACAATAGCCGGAAGTGCTGCGATGCAGGGTAAACGTGACTTGTGTTAATGCTTTTCTCTGGCAAAATATCTGTGGAAATGTCTCTCAGCTTCATAAATCTGCCCCATCTCCAACTCTTCATCCAACAAGAAGAACATGAAGAATTTATCCACAACTATCAAAGAAAGAAAGATGAAAACGTAAAGGCGAACAACAACTAGAATTAGTGAACTACTCCTGAGCAAAACTAATGTTATGGTCATGAATAAAACATAAGTAATAAGTCATTCATTAATAAGTAACTTGTGAGCTCAGACTGATTCCACAAAAATTTATTTCATGATGTAGATATCAGCATAGACAGAGAGATTTGTGCAGTTCGAATGCTACAGATGTTCACAGATTACATGTCTAGCATTTAAACTGCACAAATCTCTGTCTTTGTCAATATCTACATCATGAAATCGATTTTTAATTTTAATTGTAGAATCAGTCTGAGTTAACAAGTTACTTACGTTTAATTCATGACCATAACGTTAGTTTTGCTCAGGAGTAATTCACAAACGCTAGTCACTGTTCGCCTTTATGTTTTCGTCTTTCTTACCTTGATAGTTGTGGATAAATTCTTCCTGAACAGAATACGTCCTTTGTCGACCTTGTTGGATGAAGATTTGGTGATGAGGCAGATTTATGAAACTGGTGGAAAATACGCAAGACATTTCCACAGATATTTTGCCATAGAAAAGCATTGACGTACGTAACGTTTACCCGACATCGTGGCACTTTCGGCCGTTGTGAAAAAGGTCTATACCACATTAACCTTATCCATCTCTGGAAATAAGCCTGAGTTACCAATACAAATTACAGGTCAGCTCTGTGAAGTGGTATGTTTTAATAAATGCTAGTACGGCATCAAGATTGCCTAATAATAACAGTAAAGGTACCATAACTTAGTTTTAATTTGCAGTCGCCCAAATATACCAATAAAAAAGTTATTTTATCCCAGTGATGAAATCCAGAGATCCAACTGTAGTTACTTATAGATTATAGACAAATCTTTTTAAGTAACAGTTGCGTGCTATGATGACTGGCCAGGCTGGATGCTAATGGCTAAAAGAAAGCCTGCTTAAGTGAACATTGATGTCTCTTTAGCATGAGAAACCAACATTAAGAGATGAATTTAAGTGATGTTCTGTCATTTCCTTGAAAATTTTCATGATCCACCATAGTCTTGAGTGCATGGATTTCCGTGACTGACATATTGAATACATCGGTGCTTATGATTCATGACATTCATATTATGAAGTGCAGACGTTTGTTCACATGCAAAGGATTTCAAAGTGGACCACACCACACCCTTGTACGGTCTTACCTTGACAGGCTCGGATCCTGGCAGAGAAACAAGAATTACAATAAAAAGAGCTACATATGAAAAGCATAAATCCCTTATTTGCACAATGTTGGCACAAGTTTAACGCAAGCTCAATGTCAAACAGCACAAGAAGACACAAAATACTGCCATGCAAAACATCCACTCCACTTGCGGTTAGAACATGGCAGACTGAACGGGGAATTAAGAGAGGCAATGGGCTGCTTCCAGGCATATCCGAATTTGACAGTGGATAAGTGCTAAGTATTGTCAAGAACATGGAGAGGTGGAAAAATGCTCGCGGAGTGATACCTGACGGGACAAGTTCAGGGACTGCGAGGCCTAATCCTGCTTCCTACAAAAAGGCGAGACAACAGGAAGCATGCAAGATCCCCCCCCAGACAAGACACGAGAGCTACGGTGAAAACATGCAAACAGGTATTTACTCAGAAGCTGCTAAACTAAACATGGATGTAAAGCAGTGGCGTTTGCTGGTACCCGGGGACACCCAGAACTATCTTTGGTGTGTTTTGGGTTGAATCATGATCACAGTTTATTAAATTTGTGTAAAAAATCTGAAATACTGCTTCTTGTGCATGTGTTACTCATCTAAAATTAAAACTGCACTTACCACAGCGGATGGTTTACTGTAGCTTGAGCAAAGTACTTTCATTAAATTTGAAAGATTTCTTAAACTACTAAAGGTACTTGCCTAGGTATTTTACATTTTTATAAATATTTAAAAACAAACATGATTGCCACTTAAAACGTATTTATTCACGGGTTTCAGGCAAATACTTCCTTTGTGATATGAGTGACTTTGTAAAGACTCTTCCCTATTCAAAACATATGTACTTAATTGCTTGAAACCAATTAATATACCTGTTTGGCGTTCAGATAAACTCACTATTATAAAAATATGAATGTCTTGCTCTGGGGCCCCTCTACCAGCTCTGTCTAAAGCTCTGCTCCAATGAGGAACGCTGCTGCGCTTGGAAATGGACAGACACTGAAGCCTTTACATAATAATGAAGTCAGCGGCTCATGCGTGGACCAAACTTACAAAATCTGACCCCGCCACAGGGAAATCTTTGGGCAAGTGACTTGAATGTGGGGCGCTCTGCTGTGCATTGAACAAACCTAACGGAGAAGGAGGACATTTTATTAAAAAGTCAGGGCTAAAATCGGAGCGCACAGTGCAAGTGTATGAGGCTGATAGGTGCATATTTTTACTACAATAAGCTTACAGATGAAGCTGCATGACATTGTGTGTATTCAAACTATAATAAGGACAAAACAACAAGTAGAGTGGGCGATACAGACACTGACTGATATGACAAAATAGATATATTCTTTGACAATACCTGACATGATTTTTTTTTTTAAAGGTCCATTGTATAATTTTTCTGGTGGAGGGTTTATCTAATATGTTATTGCTTTGTCTGGAATGCTTCACAGTATGATATTAAACCTTTCTATCTTCATGGAGACCAAAGCTGAACAAGTTACAGGTTAGATATGTAGAGAGGCAAACCCCGTCACTGTTAGAGCACCTGTTTTTCTAGGTTTTTTGAGCTATAAAACCACCTGTAATTGAATAAATGTAAGATAGAGCTGTTTAATGTCATACTGTGGAACATTCCAGGCAGAGCAATGGCATATCCATAGAAACAAGCAGGTGACAGACCCCCAGTCAAAAAGTTACATAGTGCACCTTTAAATATATATAAATATATTAGCTTTTGTTTAGGCATCAAGACAAATATGAAAGGACTAGAAATTTCCCACAAAAATGCATTAATTAAATTTTATACTCTTCTTGAGAACTTTGTGACTTGTGCTTCTTTCAATATGCATGCTACTAATTTTATATTAAATATTCAAATTTTGCATAACTTTAAAACTGCATTTACAATTTACAATATTTTTGATAATACTATTTGCAAACATGTATGCATAAGAGGACATATCACCTGTAGTTTTAGCCTTATCCATTAAAATGACAAAACTTAACACCACCTTTAGGTTAAGATTTAGTTGAACCTGCCCATAAAATACAGTAGACCATAATTTTGACCCAATTAAATTACAATTTTAAGACCTTGGGAATACCCTGTGATACCAAATCCATAAAATTACCCCATGCATGTCTCATCTATGCCCTTTTGGATCTCATGGGAAAATGCATTGACGAGTATAATAGGCGCATGTGTATTATTGCATGTGCTAAATTTACACAGGAAACGAGCACGAGCATATGGTGCACCGAGTGCCCATGGGAACGAGATATTGGTCAAAGCGAGGTGTTAACCACATTTTGAGTTACAAGCACTCAAGCAAAGCAGCACACTGTCTCAAGTCACTGTGAAAGGCAGACACACCCAGAGCACACCAAGCTCCGCATCAGTGACAGCTTAATTTACATTGAACTATTACTGATCCTCTGAACGCCGTGTACCACAAACACAAACCCTTTATTATGGCACAAAAGATTACAAGAAGTTGATGCTCACTTTTGTTCTTTCACTATCCAAATGTCAATAATGCAGAAACTATGGTCTATTTTTTCTATTGCTCAAAATGTGTTAAGCATTATGTTGATAAGGGCTGCAGCTAACAATTATTGACTAGTCAGCAAAATGGAGTTATTACTTGTTCTGCAACGCTCCACAAGATTGCATAATACTGATCTTTAAAACTATTACACAAAATTGACTCTTGTGAGCTTTTAGTCATGTTATAATGTTGCTACCGCAGCAAAAACATGCCTGGAGTTGTGTTTCGTTTCATTCGCGCATGTTTGTGAATGAAACAATTATTATTAGTCTGTCTGCACTCTTTGTGATGTCACGAAGCGGTAGTTTTCAAGTTAACAGCTACCTTTTTTCCCCTAGTTCAGTATAGTTTGGCAATTCAAGGGCTAGAACCAGTTGGATGATTCTAGTGAAGGTGTATGGAGTTTGAAAACAGAGAAGTGCTTTCTGTATTACCACATGACATCACAAGGGAGAATATGTTGTCTTTTTGAGAGCCTAAAAATTGTCAACCCTCTCTCTGTATCTGTTGCAGTGAGCCTAGCCATTTTGTTTTTAAAAGTTTGTATTAACTCACCGTACATGATCCTGGTGTTTTTATTTCACTATTTTGTCCATAAACAAATTCGAACCCTGTAACCAAGCCTCATGACTTCATTTGACTGAAGCCGAACACTAAAGGAAGATGTCACCCTCCCTAAGTCCGTTTCTTTCTACAGTCTATGATCTGTACATGACAAATTTGGTCAAACGTGTGGGAAAAAAAATCTGGTATAGCCCTTTAACTTATTCAATATCCAAATGAAACCAATGTTATTACTTTCAAAACTGTGTACACCCTGCAAAGCCTCTCACTTCCTAGTGTTTTGGATGTGGCCTGGTGGCTGATGGTAAACCTCAACCTCTGAGTGGCAGTGCGAAGGGGAACACGACTTTCTCACGCTGTGGCTTCTGCTTACAGAGTCACACCGGAAAAGCACCCGGGTGGCAGGACCCAAGGGTGGGGTGAGAATAGCAAGATAAACTCAGGCTATAAGTAGTCAATGAGGTAAAGAATAGCAAAGGGATGATTTTGAAACTTTCCCAAAATACTGCATGTCTTTATAATGAGAAAAATGGAATATGCAAAAAAAATGCTATTTATGATTTGCAATAAAAATGAAATTGTGCACTGAGTGTGAGTCTAGTGTACATGAACGACAACATAAAAGGCTAAAGGACTCAGTAAGGTAAAGAATAGCAAAGGGGTGATTTTAAACTTCCCCAATTAAGTCTTCACAATGAGGAGAAAAATTAAATGTCCAATAACACCAAGAATTAATTATAATATGATTTGGAATAAATAAGAAGTCTTGCATCTACTGTGAGCCAAGTCTATACCGAGAACAAGATAAACTCAGGCTAAAAAAAAGGTCACTTAGGTGAAGACTACAAAAGGGTTCCCAAATAAGCCTTCACTATGAGGGAAATGAAATATATTACATAGATATATATATAATACAGTAGTCTCATAGCATAATAGTCAATGTCAATAAGATTACTACGGTGGCTTGTAGGCAGCTGTACATATTTTCTGATTGGCTGAGGACTGAGCCCATAACACCTACGGATGTAACAGACTCTGGAAAATGAAACACAAAACAAAAAATAACATAGGAAGTTATACTATGAGATCAGCAAAATGTTAATCTATTTATTTATTTTATTTTTTTGCAATTACAATATAATTTGCAATACTTAAAGCGAAGCAATGTTTATAAAACTTGAAATGGCTTTACTTCTTATTACTGTAATGTAAAACTTTAACATATTTGGACTGCCATTATATTATAGCTATACATTTTTGTATTAGCTGTCTTGTCTTCTTTATTTTTACATTTAGACTCATACATTAGGTTGAGTGTATTTTGATAATTGTCTTTCTAAACTTTGTATTGGTGTAAAATACTATTCAAAAAATATTGTAAAATATTTAAACAGTACTACGATTTTTTATTTATTTATTTTTATTTTATACATATTTTGTATTTAAAATGAAAAAACTAGATGAGGGAAAGGATTGGACTGAATAGGATCTGCCATAGTCTCATCCTAAGCTTATGTTTATCCCTGCTTCCACGGCTTGTTCCTGTGTTTTAGATGTAGTTGTTGTCTTCATCTTTACTCCTCCCTCCTCTAAGGTCACAAATCTTTGAACTTTCTGTTGAACTGCATCTCTACCAACTGCTTTCCTGTTTACAAGTTCAAAAGAAGAAACGGCTTTCTCCTCTTCGCACCCTCAACGAACAAAAGGGAAGCTACAAATTTTTTAGCTCAACTCCCAGAGCACTGAAATATCTTTGGCAGAATAACAGTCAATTAAAAATAAGCACCGGAGAAGATTGTTTGGTGATATATTTGAGTTGAGCTGGGAGCAAATAAAGCGTAGGGCTCCATATTAAAACACATATCTTATAAAAAGAACAGAGACCGCACAAGCCACAAGCACACAGACAGGTTTAACACTGGGGCTTACCATAAGGGGGTGCAGGGCGAGTAGGAACAGTCTTCTTTGGAACTGCTGGGTTGTCTGATTTCTGTCAAAAGACAAACTCATTTATAGCATGTTACTTTCGTTTGAGTTTATAGCTTGATGCAAGGTGTTAAAATGGAAAAAGGAAAATGGCAATGTCAAAGTGTTAAGTACAATGCTAAAGCGGTTTGTGTTGCTGTCAGTTTTGTCTGGTGTGAAAATCGACTTGACATGTTCTTACATCACACCATGCACTGACCACTTTATCATTACAATGCAGCCTTTCTTTTTTGCTCCACAAGGATATTCTCCAACATCCAAAAATCACTATATGCATTTAAAGCAGACCTATAATGATAAATTTACTTTTTAGAGCTTTTAAGCATGTTGTAGTTGTTTCCCATCACCATTCATTCACTCTAATTTGGAGCGATTCATACATGTCTGAGCAATTGTTAAAGGTTGTATAGAGGATTTTCCAAGGAACGAGAAATCCAGCGACTGTTTGTCCTTTTTCAAATGTTGCGCATGCGTGAAACCACCCCCCCTCCCCTACAGCTCCCTACGTAGAAACGCCTTCTCCCGCCTCCTCACTACGCCAGAAACAGGTTTGTTTACAGCCGGTGAACTGCACATGACTTGTAAACAACTAACTACAGTGTTGGTTAGGCAAGGCGGAGAAGTGAGGAGCGGGGGGAGCGGGTGTGCGGACATTTCGTTCGCGGACGAGAAGTGAGGAGCAGGGAGAAGAGCGGAGCAGGGAGAGAGGAGAGAGGAGAGAGGAGAGGGGAGCGGTGCGCGGAGATTCCGTGCCCGTAGAAGTGAGGACAAGGGGGAAGAGCGGAACGGGCAGCGGGGACAGGAGTAGGAAAGGGGAGCAGAGAAGGTTGCGCGGAGATTCAGTGCGAATGAACTAGCTACAACACGCAGCAGCAAGCGGACTCTTTCTTTGCCTTGAAAATTACGTTTTCAGACATAGGATATCGCTTTCGTGTCCTGAAAAACGTTTGACTAGCTCTTGGAAATAAAGTACGTTTTCATAATAAGCAGAAGTTACCTGTCCAGGAGTAATTTGGCGACCAATGCGTCAGTCTTTAGACCCTGCGTCTGCTTCAGTCGCCCATCGCTGGAATGAATCTACAAGAATCACCTTAGTTTGGCTTCGCTGCTTTTCCCCTTGTCTTCTTCTTTCAGCGACCTCAAAAACGGACTTTCTTTTGCGGCTAACTGCTCCTGGATTCTTGTCTGCCATTGCAACAAACTTTGTGCTAACTGCGAGGAAGATATAGGTCAAAAAAAGCCGCTAAGAACTGTTGCGTTGGTGGAGTAAACAGCGTCTGTGCGTCTTGCGTCTGTGGACTGCGTGACAGGCGTACGTAAACCACGTACCGGCGGCGCGCAGGCAGGTCAGTTACGCTAGAAACGTAGGGAGTTTGATTGATAGCCTGTCAGCTAACAGATAACGAGGCAATGTCGTTATCTATTGGCAAATGTTTAGCTGGCCCCACCACGTCCAGAGTTGATGAATTTTTATTCTCTTTTTTTTGGTCATCATAATTACAAGGCTACTGCACCTCTATAATGCTATCATTGACAACTTGAAACAAAAAAAACAAAAAAAAAATCCTCCATACAACCTTTAATCATTTGTTTTCAATTCACCATATTGCTGTTCAATCCTCCAGTTTGATTTTCTTTATCAGTGATACCCATAGGATTCGGCAGGGTCGTGTAGTCATGTTGGTACAAATGGAAAAAAAGTTCACTACTCGCTAGTGTGATTTGCAGCGATCCATCGGAAATGCCGACTCTCTATTGTGATTATTTTTACAGCAATGTCAACTCCCATTGGGTACTCCATTTTTCTGTCGCGGAAGTCAGCAGCTTTGTTTCTTTTATGATGCCATTTTAGATTCATATTTTGAAAATTGTTAAATTGCTTATGAAAATTGTTAAAATGTGCAAATTATAACATAATAATCCACGGGTGTCATAGATTATAGCTGTATAGCAGACACAGAGACAATAGTTTCTTTTATCTTTTCATTTAAAGGTGCAGTATGTCACTTTTCTGGTAAGAGATTCTCTACCTGCTCCACAGGTTCCACAGTATGGAATTAAACTGATCAGTTTTGCATTTATTGAAGTACAAATGTTTTTTTATTGTGCAAAAATACCTTGAAGAACAAGCATTCTTTCTGTATACAGGGTCACCTCTCCACAGCTGACCTATAATCTGGATTTGTATCATGTAATTACGCAGAATATTTTTGGCAAAACAATAACTCCATGGAGACCAGCTGAAAAGTTACATAGAGCACCTTTAAATGAAAGCTATAGTATATTAAGAGTCTTTTAACCCACAAATTGAGAATCCTCAATCAAACATTGAGCTATTAAGAAACTATTGTTGCACAGGCTACATTTGCTTTTGTAGCTCTCAGAATGTAACTGATTTGTTAATATAATGCTGCCACATTGTTACTACAGAACTGGGAATTGGAAGTTTGGTTTACAGACTCTTTCAGATTGTATGAGTGGAAACAAAAACATTTAGCACCAATTTTACAACTACAAAATTCATCCCTGGAGCTTACCTTTGCCATCTGACTAAAATCTGCAAATCCTCCTTTACTTCCAAAAGCGCTGCCTGCAAAGGGGTCCATTGTCCCAAATACATCTGGGACAAAAGACACAGGAAAGACAGTCAGTTGGGAACATTTGAGCATGTTTATGGAAAGACCTTGTAAAAATGTAATGAAGTAGCGCTTTATAACTATTTTGGGACAAGGCAATGTGGCGTGACTTTTCATTTTCCGTGACATTCAGGCAAAGAAGAAAAAAAAGCAAAAAGAGTCGGGGGTCTTGCGTGAGTGACGTATGCAGCCAATCAGCTAATTAAAGGTGTCAGTTGGTGAACTGTGTAGCTGCACTGTGGCTCTGCTGTTTTGAACCGAAGCAAGTATGCAAGAGTTGATGAAGAAATGGGGCAATGGCTACAGTGGAAAAACAAAACATTGTAACAGAATATGTTTGTTGTGAATGTGGCGTCACAAAAGAGCCCATTCACTGCTATCGGGCTCTGTTTTTCTTGTACGCACAGAGCTACAGTCAGCTCTATGTGCCTGGTATAGAGGTGTGTAGCATTGGTTCTGCTTAAAACAACTTCCTCCCTCCATGAATGCAGGAGGTCAGTGGCTCTCAACCTGTGGTACGTGGGATTCCTCTGCTGGTCATGGTCAGGGTACAAATTTAGAAATGGTTTTATTACCTATTTTTCATTCTGATAGAGAAAATGATCAAAATTATATTTCAATTTGAATGGATGCAATAAGCAAATGATGTAATATTTTAAGTACCAAACAACAAAATATGATCTTATTCTGTAAGAGAATTGCAATGTAAAGCCTGTAGTTTATATTTGTACAGATATGTTCTGATATGTGATAATTTAATTATGTTTCAGGTCATATATTGAGTCTTTTTGTTAAATCTCCTCAGTGCAAAATGTGAATTTTGAAAAGAATCACAAATCTTATCACCATGCTTGTCAGAATAAATGCAATAACATATTTTTTTCCAAATCCTTTTGAAAACACTCTATCACCACATGACATCACAAGGTGGAACAAAGGATTTGTCTTATAAAGAAATTAAACCTGAACTATTACCAATTTATTGGTCACTGCTGACTTAAGTATGATGACGTAATCCCTAGGTATTAGGTGGAATTCATCACATAACAATCGTGACTAAACCAGGATGTAAACCCGAAACTAAATTAGGATTAAATAAGGAATAGAACAGGACCAAGCCAAGTCCACACCAGGACTAGAATAAGCTCTATTTAGCCCAAATAAAGCTCATTCTAGACCCTGAAAAAGTTTGATCGGTGCACAGAAGTTGAAGCCTGGGGTACTTCTGCCTTGGTTCTTGATGCTCCTGGATAAGACACAGCTCAGACCTGCTTTAATCTTGGTTGAGTCCATGTTAGGTCATTTGTTAGGTTAATGATGTAATCCATGGCTGGTTGGTTTCACCCTGGTTTAATTCAGATGTTACTTTGTTTAGTCCATACTTAAACCCATAACATAATACGCTTATTTTATTCCCTTTTTAAATTACCTTTTAATTTCCTTTTTAAAAACGTGTGTGTAAATCATTTTATATTTTATGGATGTATGTACTATGTTGACAATGAACAAATAAGGAGTGGAACCAGAATAAGCCTTTGGTTTCATTCTACTCCTTTTAAAACTCATTGTGACTTGTTGAATGTTACATTACATCATTGTCTTTGTTAATAATGTTTTTCCAAATGAATTTCAAATGAATAAACCTTTTGAAATTTGGGTATTTGCAGGGTCAAACATTATCTGTGGTTGTATGTGGGATTAATTGTTTGATATTGACTACATTTACTTCTTCATTATACAGTCAAAGATTTATCATAAATGAGTTAAATATTAGCAGTGTCTTGTAGTAGCCCCCACTCTCACACACAGTTTGTTATGTTTGGCTCCTACATCTCTCCTGTTTTTTTCCTAAAAGAGTGGCACTGGTGGGGGGTTGGGTATTTTTAGTTTGGTTAAATGCGTAGGTACTGGTGCTAAAAATAACTCCAAAAACCACAGGAAAAATTGAAGCCACAGAAAGTTAAAAATTGTTTGCCCCTCATGCCCCCAAATTATAATTTTGTCCCAAGACGTCACCCAGAACGGCAATAAAAAGCTCTTTGAGAAACATTGCACAACACACTGTTCCCTCACCTTTAGAAAACTCCATAGTCACTGGCTGGGAAAAAATAATCCCACTTATATTAAGTGTAAAGATGACTAATAACATATCGGAAAAAGTATGGTTTTGTTCAGCGCAAGACCTTAACTGAACCTACAGCACAACCAGCTGTATTACGTATAATACATTTAACCAGCCTTCTAGATAGAGAGACAATTACCTTTTCTGTGCTACCAAAACATTTTACTATGAGGAGAAGGTTTGTCATTTAATTTCCAGGGGGCAGAAGAAATAATAAAAGATTAAATACAAAATGCAGCAGGATTATCAATTAACTCGTCTGTATCTAATTAATACCATATCAAGGATTAGCATATGAATGAATGTTAATATTTTTCCTTAATAACAAATTAATGGTTACATGGATGTATGAAATAAATAAGTCCTGAGTACTGTTCAGAGTGAAAACCCTATGCTAATAATATTATAGTCAAAGACTACTATTACTACAGTGACATGCATACAGAGTTCTAGTACAGTTGCTCTTACAGAAAAGCTTTATAGGGCTGAATTGCACCTGTGGAGATGTGCTCAAGTAGTTTTTGCAAAAATAAAGTCAAAAGTCTAAGCACAGGCAAATCTCCCCATGATCTCTGTGTCTCTTTTTACCATCACCACATGAAGCTTCTGACAGATCTAATACCTGAGTCCTTTGCTCTGGGGCTGTTTGATCTGAATGGATCACTGCTGCTGAAGGCACCCGGCTGAAAATGAGCACATGACATGCATGTAAACACGAGATATTCAAAGGAGAAGGTATTCACAACAAAGCAAAAACAGAAACTCAATAGCATTTGTTTACCACTGTTGATAACACTATTGGTCATAATACCCATTCTAGCTTATGTAATGCTAATGTTTTGTTTTTTTTAAGTAAATTAAAGTTAATGTATATAAAAGTATACTGTAATAGGAGTAAAAAGTAAAAGGAGTAACCAAAGAGCTCCTATCTGGTTCTACTTTTAATAGAATTTATTCTCTAATTCAATCAAATCATAATCATTTTCACAAAGTTGTGCTTCATGACTACTGAATTATACAGGATATTGGCTATATTAGAACTGATTATTTCTGTCTGCAAACACAGAAATGCATGAAGCAAAAACAGAAAAGGAACATGGAAAAAAATCTGAAAAATGGGGTCAAGCACGTGGTCTAACAAGAAGAATTTACAGTTAAAATATTTTGGAGGTTTCTAAATTAGGAGAGTTTTACACTGTATACTACCATGTGTCTGGAGGTGTATTTAAAAAGTATTAATAGTATCTTAATTGTGCAATTTGTAACTTTTCTGGTGGAGTGACCATCACATGCTTGTTTGCATGATGTTGTTGTTGCTTTGTCTGGAATGGTCCATAGTATGGCATTAAACCTGTGGTTCTCCATGGGGACCAGCAGGTGCTGCTACTGCCAGGTCAAGTTATGGGTCTTATGAGGTAAACCTGCTTATAGTAAGAATGCATGTTTTTAACAATAAAACAGCTGGAATTATATAAATACAAGACAGATGCGTTTAATGCCACACTGTAAAATATTGGTAGTTTTCAGATTCTTGAGTGTGATTACATTGTATTTTGCCATGAAATATCCAAAATAAAAAATAAATAAATAAATTAAAAAAAGGTAAATTCACAAATGTTGAATCTGGTATTTTCATTTACTGACTAAACTCAAGAAATAACTATATTGCAATATTCTTTTGCTTTTTAAGAATATTAATTTTAGCTGCCCCCAATCTGTATTAAATAATATTGGCCTATAGGATCCTGTGACATCATCTGAAACCCAGCAATTCCAGGAAATACCCTCCAGAAAAGTTTCATGGTGAACCTTTAAAAATGTTAACAGTCATTATTAGTACAAATGGGTTTTTTCTTTCCACTCAGACTCTGGTGCTCAAAAGGCTTAGCAGTACCTTGGCTGGCGGCGTGGGCTTTCGACCGAAGGGGTCTGCAGATGCAAAGGGGTCAGACTTATTCGCCCTCTGAAAGAAGTTCTCAGCAGCGGAGCTTTTGAAGGGAGAACTTTCTTTAAAGGGATCTCCGCCAAATGGGTCTAAAAAAAAAGACAGGACAGAGGGGACAGTGTGTAACTGTGAGCAACTAGAGACGTGTCCTGGAATCATCTTAAGCTTTAAAAACCAAATAATCCTTACTTTATTGTACTTTTCCGTCATATAATGCAAACAGACTGGAAAGTAACAACAAACATTTCCATTCATAATAAGTAGGAAGCCTTATAGTAGGTTGGATTTGGGAAATGCTTAGTCAGTGAATGGGGGAGGGTTAGTCAGAAAGGAAGGGGCAGTTAGTCAGCAGTAGTGGACCGGGCAGAGGGTAAATCACACATACCGTCTAAGAGGTTGGACTTAAAGGGGTCTTCTGTCTGGAAAGGGTCAGGTGGAGGGTCCTTGACGATGGGACTGCTGCTGCTGCTGGCTGCTGGTGCTGTTGAACATGGCTATTCTGGACTTCAGAGAACTATTCTGTTTGAAGAAGTAAGCAAATATTTATACAGTTATAGAAAATAACCAAAGAGTAAGTTTTAAAATATATATAAAAGTAAAATAATAATAAAGATGAATATAGGATTTCAGCACTAGGTATATATGTGTAGATGAGGTGTTACTAAAGATGAATACAGTAACAGCATTAGACTCTAAAGATTGTTGTTATCAATTTGATAAAAAAAAAAAAAAAACACACATTAAAAAGTCCAGTATTACACAAAACTGACTCTTATGAGCTTTAAGACCTTTATCATTAGTCTGTCTGCAATTCTAAAGCTCAAATGCTCTGTTCCACCTTGTGATGTCATGAAGTGCTAGTTTAAGATGATAGTTCACATTCTACCTTTTGTTTAGGAGAGATTGGAAACTCCAGGGCTGAAATCATCCAAATCATTCTAGTGAAAGTGCCTAGAGTTTAAAAACACAGTGGAGCACTTCCCATATTACCAGATGGCATCACAAGGTGGAACACTGTTTTCTCTTAGAGAGAAGAACTCAGCCTAACTATGCAGGGTTTGTACAACTTGCACAACTCCAGGTATGTTTTTGTTTAATTTAATTTAAATGACAGGTCTTCAGACATTGTGCACCACATACTCACCACAGTCCCAAATCCTCTGTTTTCCTTTTCAGCAAATCCATCTGAAACGTCCTCAAAGTCTTTGTAGTGACCTCCGTTGATCTCCTTCAACGCACTGTTGTATTGCTCTATGGTCTTAGACACCTCCTTTTGGTTTTCCTGGATCATTGACAGTTTGCTGCGAGCCTGGAAAACAAATGGACAGATGGTCAGCAGCTCAACTTCTGTGCACCAACCTATTCAGTCTGTCGCTGTTTGTTTAAACGTGCAGTGAGCAACTTTTCTTCATGATTGCATGAAGCTCTTCCTGAGTGTCACAACAGAGCTAATTAATACTAATGCCATACAGTGGAACATTCTAGGCAATATAATAACATCTCCATGAAGACAACATGGTGGTGGATCTGCACCAGAAAAGTTACATAGCACACCTTTAAGCCACAAAGAGTATTGTTGAGAGCAAAACGTACACTTCATAGACAAATGAAACATGCTCATTATTATAGAGCTTCACTAAACATGATAAAATGCAAATAACATTAATTATATTCAATAATGTCAATAATGCAATCTTATAGAAACTAATGAAGCGGCCAGAGAACTAATATTAATGTCTACCATTGAAGAGCATGTGCGATGTGTGATACACAGCTTCATAGTGTGATGGTGTTTGATTGTGTTCATTAATGAGTGGACCTGATTGAGTTCATCCTGTGTAGTTTTCATGGACTTGACGATACTGTCCAGTTGCACCCGTCCTGACAGAAGACTCTGCTCCAGCCGCACTTCCTCATCCTGCAGTCGGCTCAGCTCTGCTCTAGTCCGGGACACATCGTCCTCCTGGTTCCGCAGGTCGCTCTCCTGAGAACGGATCTGGGTCTGAAGGGATGAGATCTGGAACAAAAAATTAGCAGTAAAGAATAAAATATTTTCAGGAATTAGGTCTTTGTAGATTTCATATAAAACTAATACTTTCTTTAATAATTACTTTTGTTTTACAAAATATAGTTTGTACAACATTTGTTGCAAGGTCATAGCCACATAAAGATGCATTATTTAAAAACACATTTGTTTGCATGCACAGGCAGGTTACTTAAGAAAGCTTCAAATTTCAGTTTCAGAGAACTGGAAAAAAAAACTGCCTATGGTTACTTTCTAAAATATTTTCTTACTGATTGCCCCTGTTTAAAATGTATCACTTGAAAATCTTGCTAGGTGAGTCAATTACTTGCACGATTTTGCCTTCTCATTTTTTTCCCTCGCAGATGCCTCCATGTAAACATAATATCATTTTTCTGATTGTGTCCAGTCCTCTAACTCTCTCCATATGTAAAATGTGGGAACACGTGTTTTTGTGAGCACGGCCCTTGGTTAAATTGAGTCCACATGTGCATTACCATGGCACCTGAAGGGAAACTTTGCTATAAACATGTTATTTTTATTAGGGAGCTTTCTGACCATCTGGCTCTCTTCTTGGCACTTCTGTTTGACGTCATTGAGCATTCCCTCCAGCTTCGCGCGTTGTTGCTCCATCTCCTCTAGTCGGCTGTGGGCGTTCTGCTTCTGAGACTCCAGGTCCTGTAGTCCAACACTCTCCCGGTCATAGTCACCCTGCATGTCCTGAACAGAAACACATCAGCAGGTCCTATATTACGCAAAATTCCCTCTTGTGTGTTATAATGTTGTTACCTCCTCAAAAACATATCTGGAGTTGTCTTTTGTTTCATTCACACATGTTTGAGCAGTGTTGGGGAGTAACGGATTACATGTACCGCCGTTACGTAATCAGAGTACAAATTATGAGTAACTGTATTCCGTTACAGTTACTGTTTCAATGAGTGGTAATTGGATTACAGTTACTTTGCTGAAATAAGTGGATTACAAGGCGGTATTTTCCTGTTTTCACATTTTGTGCTACATCCCATTTGTTTATTTTTTTATTTCGGTAATTTCACTCATTGCCTGAAGCCCAAACAGAACGCGCGCAATAAGAGCGATGGAAACGTCATGTTAAAGTTGGCGGTGTCAGTCACACAGTGGAAGCAGCAGTGCATTGGTAAAAACGCATTTGTGTCTTGGAAATTCTTCTCCCGATGTGAGATATATATATATATAAAAAAAACCAAATATAAAATCGCCTACAACTTAAATGTGAAACCGGAGCTACTGGCACTGGTGAAAACAACCTGCATAGACTCATAATATCTGCACTACTGTCCTATAGTCAGTGTTGTGCATGAACGAGTTCAAAAGAACGCGTTCATTGAACACGTTCATTTTTCAGTGAACTTTGAACTGAACGCAACACTTTTGTAAATGAAGAACTTGAACGTGAATTTGTTCAAATTATGTTGTGATGAACGAACGTACGTCACTGTTGGGGTTCAGTTAAACGTCGGAATTTGTTTTCACCTGACGAGTGACGATCTGCTCGCACTTCACCTCGCGAAACCACAGCCGCGTGTCAACGCGAAGGCAACTCCACCGGCAGCTTTAGCGGAACGTACGGGCTCTTGTGTCTCTCAATGGGAAGTCAGTCAAACTTGACTGGGCGCGTTTAGCTGCTTGTATTTACCTTCTGTACAGGCTGACCACGGCAAACGCAAGGATTTCAAAAGTAAATTTCAAAGCACTAATTAACAGTCTATGTGGATCTGGGCTCTTTCACATGATACACAACTGCCCAGGGAGCACAATGTGCTGATGGTAAATGCGCAAATACAACAATAGATACATGCTCTCTGTGTATTTTGACGGGGATACGCGCCTACGCTCGTGTAGAGCGTCAAAAAACAGAATGGATCCTATTTTCTGAAATCTACACGCACAGGACGTGCTGCTCCGCGCGCGTATTATGTTACTTGGTACATATGTCAGTAACGCGCGTCACAATGCTTTTTTAACCTGGATTGAAATGGTGGGTTTTTCGTTTTTCTTCATACAAATTTGCTAAAATCACCGCGATATCAGCAGCGGTGAAACGCCGGAGGTGCGCCCGCGTAGACCGTGATCCTGAGCGAAAGGACCGACGCAGAAGTCCGCGCTCCACCGAGATAAACGCAGCTGACGCCCGATCGCACTCGGGGTTCTCTCAGGGGCGGTCCTAGATTCCAAGTTCTAGTCCAGGATTAGTCCTGGTTTGGTCCTGGTTTAGTCTTGGTTTAGTCCTGGTTTAGTCCTGGTTCAGTTCTGGTTTAGACCTGGTTCAGTCCTGGTTCAATCCTGGTTTAGACCTGGTTCAATTCTGGTTCAGTCCTGGTTTAGTCTTGGTTTATTCCTGGTTTAGACCTGGTTCAGTCCTGGGTCAGTCCTGGTTTAGACCTGGTTCAATTCTGGTTCAGTCCTGGTTTAGTCTTGGTTTATTCCTGGTTTAGACCTGGTTCAGTCCTGGTTCAGTTCTGGTTTAGTCCTGGTTTAGTCCTGGTTTAGACCTGGTTTAGACCTGGTTTAGACCTAGTTTAGTCCTGGTTTAGACCTGGTTCAGTTCTGGTTTAGTCCTGGTTTAGACCTGGTTCAGTTCTGGTTTAGTCCTGGTTTAGACCTGGTTTAGTCCTGGTTTGGACCTGGTTCAGTTCTGGTTTAGTCCTGGTTTAGACCTGGTTTAGACCTGGTTTAGACCTGGTTTAGACCTGGTTTAGTCCTGGTTCAGTCCATATACGGCGCAAAAGTTCAGCATCTTAACAGTTCTTTTGGTGAGAGTAAATTAAAAGTGCTGCAATAGTCGTGTAATGTTTTACATTTTTAATACAGTAATACTGTAATGTAACAAATGACTTTGAAATGACAGTAACAAGTCATAAATAACACATTACAGTTTTAAAGTCACTTGTCCAACAGTGTATCTTGTTGTAAACTAGAAGTCAGTTTGAAAAATAAATGCAGCCTTTCATTTACAGATCTCATCTAAATATAAAATGAACTGAACTTTGAACTAGTTCAAAATTAAAATTGTGAACTATGAACGTGAACTATTCACTTTGAGCAAGTGTGAACTGAACTTTGAACTAGTTCATGAAAAGTGTGAACTTGCACAACACTGCCTTTAGTGACCTGCCACATGAGGGGACACACACACACAAACACACACAAACACCTTCATCATCGTCATCAACCTGAGAACCCGCGGACCACGTCTCCTTCCGTAGTTACAGCGCGGACACCGCCGTCTCGTGCGCCGCGTGTGGACTGTGTTTTCTCGCGTAAACCTCGCTTCCTCCTGTGCGCCTCTAAACCAGAACTAACACCAGGACTAAACCAGGACTAAACCAGGACTAAACCAGGACTAAACCAGGACTAAAGCAGGACTGAACCAGGTTTAAACTAGGACTAAACCACGACTAAACCAGAACTAAAGACCTGGTCTAGACCTGGTCTAAACCAGGTCTAAAAATCAGGACTAAACCAGGACTAAACCAGGTCTAAACAACATGACACCTAACAGTAGGTTGACATAATTTAAGGTGATCTCATATAATTTCTCTATCAATAATATTTTTTAATCTGGTGAAGGAAAGTCTTATCTTGTTACTGTTTTTTAACAGACAAAACCTCTTATATTAAGATATCGTGATCTTTGTTTCTCTACAGCAAACAGTTGCTTATTCATGGAGACAATTTGAAGACAACAAACAAGAATTTTGAGGATGTGGTTGCTACATTCATGTCGTTTAAAAAAACATGACAATATCAAGTAATCCAAAGTAATCAGATTACGTTACTCACTTTAAGTAATTTAATGGATTACGTTACAAATTACATTTTGGGGTGTGTAATCTGTAATCTGTAGGGGATTACATTTTAAAAGTAACCTTCCCAACACTGTGTTTGAGTAACCCTTTATTATTAGTTTGTCTGCAACTCCAAAGATCAAAATGTTCTTCTCAACCTTGTGATTTCAAGAAGCAAAGGTTTTCAAGTTAACAACTCCTTTTACCTTAAGTAGAGATTGGCAACTCCATGGCTGAAATCATTAAAATGATTCTAGTGAAGGCATATGGAGTTCAAAAACATAGTGGAGCACTTCCTGTGTTACCACATGACATCACAAGGTGGAACAAAGGGATTTCTGTTTGAGAAAAGAGCTCTAATATACTCTAAATATGCAGGGTTTGTGTGTTAAACATGTGCGAATGACACAAAACACAACTCCATGTATGTTTGTGATGACGAAAGATGATTACATGGATCAGAAAATAGCATAATATGGACCCTTTAAAGCAAAAATGTAGAGGTGGGTAGTACGTCTTAAAAACTGACTCAGCTACATTTACTTGAGTAACATTTTGAAGACAGTATATATCTCAGTAGTTTCTTCGTGCCATTCTTTTAACTATGTTTTTCAGTGAAGTATCAATAGCAACAAAAGCAGTAGCAGATTTTTGGTGCTCTTTATTTTTGCAAATGAACAGATTTATTATTTAGTTTATTTATGAGACAGGGTACAGTGCACAATATACATTAACCCTCTTTTTCCACCCATAGAGTATATTGTATAAGCAACACTTTGTAACAGAATAAAATCACTGTGTGGTGTCTGCATCTAATAATACAGTATTTCATCTTTCACATACTCATATGTAAGAGCTGTAAAGCAGAGCTAGAATTGACTGAGCTGCAGCAGCCTGGCCCACTTGAAAAAAAAAAAAGCCGTTTTAAAGCCTTACATGCCCCTGAAACTCATGCATAGGAATATTGATGATGTGCCGAAGGGTTTCTGAGAACTAGGAACAAATTAAAAGATTTAAATAAATATATCCTCCTTCTGCAGTTTGAAAATCAGGTGCACCAGCTTTAAGTCTGCAAGTGATAAAAAATGTAAAGCCAGAATTAAATAACATTTGCGTTTCATAAAGTTTCCTGTCAGATATGATTGATATGATGTCAGTTTTGGGTCGGTGCTTTGGAAATTCCAGAATAAATACAGTGGTAAATGTTTTGACCGTTTGATTACATTAACTTTGCATTATAAATCAGATTTCACATCCTAACAGTCACCCAGTGCTCAAAGTGACTTTAATTATGGGCCAAGATCATGATCCATGTGCACTATTGTGCATGTTTTAAGCTGATGCCCAGTGGAACTCATTCATACACAGAGAGAACATGCCAACTTCACAGAGACCACAAGACATTCTTATGAAAAATCTGAAAAGAGCAAAAACTTTTTAACTGTGCCACAACATGCCAGTCCCAAATTAGGATTAATGAACTGGGTTGCAGCTGATTCATAGACATTTTATACCATCTTTGTCCTTTTTCTGTAGATGCTAAGTGCTTTGTGTATTACAGTTTCATAACTTGTTGCATAGTTCTAATCTATTTTCATTACAGGTCTTGTACGTGGAATATTTCATGTGTATGAGAAAGACACATTTCTACCAATCATAGCAAAAGGGAAATAATACTTTTCTTTCTATTCTTTTATGAAGGTTGTGTTACATAACCCCTTTGGAATGAATTGTGTATTTGAAGTCCAGTTTAAACGAATTGAAAGCAAAACTGAAAAGCAAGCCAGTTGTATAAGCTTTGAGATAAGATGATATTTTGGGTAGTGTAGCTTTAAAAAGACATTTGTAACAGAATACAAATGAAGATACTCTTAACTTTACCCCATATTTCATTATAACCTTACCTGAACTTCACTATTCTGTCTTCGTATGCTGTCCTCCTTTTCCCTAATCTCCTGCTCCAAAATGAACTTCTCTCTGGAAGAAAAACAAGCAACAAGGGCGAAGATGAGGCATTTATGTTTTTTATTACAAAAACTAAAGCAACTCCTCGCACTTGACATTAACATTTGGCAGTAATCTGAATAATGTGGTAATATTTAACATGCTTGGAGAGAAAGAATGGGGGTTTCCAACACATAACGGAGAGGTACAAGCCCGGATAGTTTATAGCTTTCTTGTTCCTGAAATTAATGAGCATATAGTAAGACCACTTTTATGATGTGTGGCTCCTGTTGATGTAAACATAATAGCCCGTTTACAGTAGGCAACAGAGTAAGTGGGTGGCAAAGTACAGCTGGAGGCTTTAAGGATGCGCTTAAAAGGTATGTAGCAAATGCTTAATCAAACTGTGTAATCAGGACAAACTAAACCAGAGCACTCATTACAATGGGTTTGTTACTATGTTACAGAAAAACAAGGTCCCATTTGATTGCAACATATGGTAATATTAAACAACCTCAGGGATAAAAGGATTAATATTGGTGAGTATCCAGTTTGCAGTTTACATTGACACCATAACTTTGCATGCTAAAAAGAAAAGTGGCAGAAAAGAACAAAGTACAGTACATATTACAGTCAATACTTTTTACTTTTACTTTACTACATTTGAGAGCAGGTACAGTATGTGTACTTTCAACTGCATTTTTGAAACTGGGTTTAACAGTGTCAGATAGTTTCTATATGATTTCATGAGTTATTTTTAGAAAATTCATCATGGCATCCTGCTTTGAGCAACTCTGAGCAAACTAATATTGATAAAATTAATGCTAACAGTTCTAAAAAAAATCTTTGAGAAATACTACTCTTTTAACTCCAACATTCACTACTTTAATACTTTTTAGGTTTTCTTTTTTTTTTTTTTACTTGAGTAACAAAATGGAGTCCTTCTTCTACTACTTGGTTTTGGTAGATTCTTTCCAGCATTTAATTGCATATTCATGGAGCATCTAGACAACAATGGCTGGACGAGGTCATACATACTGATGTGGTTTACCGGAAAGGACAAGGACAACTCAATATCCTCACAAGACTTAAGAATTTTAATATGCAGTTCAATGCTGCACTTTATTATTATTATTATATTATTCTGAATTTCATAAAAAAGGTCATTTGAGGGGGTACGAGTACAACAGCTATTTTAAAGTTGAAAATACACAGCAAGACCACACACTTCAGAGACTTCACCGTCAGGTTCACACCAGGATTCAACTCATCTTCATTCAAAATTCCTTAATAAAAACACTGGTAGATAACAACACTGGTAGAGATGTATTTGCATCATTATCCACAGTGCCATTAAACTCGTCATCTCTATGGATACTAGCTCGTAATACTTCCAGGCACCATTCTAACCAATAATAGGCCAATAACATTTAATGAATATAGTTAAAATGGAGATTTTTGTTGCAGTACAGCAAGTTTTTGAGTCTATATATACATGATCAGGCTTGTACATGTACCTTTTAGATATTTCACTGGAAAATACAATGTAATCAATAGAGAAAACTGACTCTTGGGCCCCATCTGGGAGTATGACATTGACACTGATAAACTTTCCATCTTTCATGTATTCAGTCAGAGAACCATTTCAGGCAAAAAAAAATAACATCTCCATAGAGACGAGCAGGTGGTGGACCTCACATCAGAAAAGCTACATAGTGCACCTTTAACCCCGACAGAAGTCCAAACATAGACGCACTGGTGTGAGTGTGGTGCTGGCTCACCTCTGCAGTCGAGCGATTTCCTGGCTGAGGTCATCTAGCTCTTTGTTCCCTGTGAGCTCCACCGGCCCCACGGCGCTGCTGCTGTCCTGAGGCATATCCACAAACACCAGAAAACATCAGCCACAACAATGATGGAGTCATGTACAGGGAGGACATGCAACATGGGCTATGGTGCTTTGACATGGAGACTAAAGAGGTGACAGTGATGTTAGTGCGGAGCGTTTCCCAGACATTTAGACTTAGACAAACACTAAGAATAATTTGAAAGTATAGTATAGCCATGGGTTTTAGTTGTCATTGTAATTAATCATTCCAAGCTATAGTATTACAGCTATAGTGAGAAGTGCTCAAAATTGTGCCTATAAACAAAGAGGTGAACCCCATGGGTAGTGTATTGCCCAAAACATGCAGGTATGTTTATGTTATTAGGGTTTTTTTTCAGTTTGTTTTCATACCTGATAGTTTCAAGTGCTCACTAGCTACTACTGAGGAAGCACGCTAGTGAGCATTTGAAACTGTCAGGTATGAAAACAAACTTGTGGTCTGAAAAATGTATCTGAAGACCAAATGAAACTCTTTGGAGTACATGCAGATAGCTCATTGTGACAAATGAGTGCCACACTGTCACAGCAGCTCAGGACTTTATTCTATAAACGTAATTTTGGTGTGCAATTTGTAATCACAAATAACACTACGTAATATACATATATGTAAACAAATATTAGCATTTCCCCTAAAAAAGCCTAAAGGGCCCATGTTATGCCATTTTCTGAGCTTTGTTATAATGTTGTTTCCTCATCAAAAACATACCTGGAGTTATGTTTTGTTTCAGCAACACATGTTTCATATACAAACCTGCAGTTTTAGGCTTAGTTCTTCTCTCAAACTGAAAATACATCATCTTCTCCACCTTCCACCTTGTGATGTCATGCAGGAAGTGTTGCACTGTGCTTTTAAACATCACACCTTCACTAGAATTATTTGGATAATTTGAGCCTCTGAACTACCAGTCTCTACTGAACAAAAGGTAAAAGGAGCTGTTAACTTGAAAACTATCACTATATGACATCACAAGGTGTAACAGAGCACTTTAAGATTTGGAGATGTAGACAGACTAGTAACACGGGATTACTCAAACATGTCTGAGTGAAACAAAACACAACTACAGGTATGTTTTTGATGAGGTAACAGTATTAGAACATGGCTTAAAGCTCACAAGAATCCATTCTGCGTAATATAGGACCTTTAAAATGCATGACAATTCAACAAAACACTGCATCAAAGCACTCCTAAACGAAAGAAAAAGAAAAAATATCCATGAGGTTATCTTTTTGGTTCCCTTCTTGCAGCCAAGGGATATTACAACAATTCCCAAATGCTTTCAAACTAATTTAGACAGCCTATGGTATATTATTTGCTGACACTATTATGAGTCCTTATAGACATTTTTAAACATGTGGGAAACGCTGAGTATGTGAATGAGATATGAGTGGAGACACGAGTAGTACGTGGTCCCCCGCTCCCCACTGCTCCGTCTGCCAAAACAAAAGACACAGGAAGGAAATCTAAACACCTTGCATGACTAGAGAGCCACAGACACAATGGAAGACATAGTACATGAATAAGGAGATATGCATGTCAAACAATGCAAGAGAATTTCATGCAGTGGAATAGGGTCATATTTTAAAATTAGGCACGTGAGAACTCAAGGAGGATGTGTAACATACTACAAACAATAGCGTGACATAGGAATGCAAACTATTTTTAAGTGTCAAAGCCTGACTGTTATATTTTCAATGACAAAGTGAAAAGGATTTTGAGTTTGAGCCAAGTGATAGTCATATTAGTACCTGTAGAGCTGATATTAATTGTTGAAACAGTAGTAATCAATTTGTTGTGTAGTTCTTTTGGTTGTGCATTTAAATTATGTATATATTGGGGACTTTTTTTGGGGAGGGGGGGTTGTAATTGTTATGGACATTTATCTCTTAAAACTAGGGTGCAGGATGAATGATGTGAGTAATAACTGTATTAGTACAAAGGTTGAGTACAAGTATAACAGTAGAAATTCTATCGAAACAAAGAAAATACCTTCAATAGTTTTCTGAAATTTGAATATATAAGAATATAATATTGTAGAATGCTTTTCATCATTAATATTATTCTAAGCAACTTAATTATGATGTCTTTGCACTATAGTTGACAGAAATAATGCTAAGACAGGCTATGGGTTTAACTCCACACTAGATGGCAGCATTTTCCTAACAGGCTCGGGAAACTTAGGGAATTTCCAGCCAAATGAAATTGATTGCAAATGGTAAACATAATTCAGAACTTTTATATTTCCTTTGGCAGAGATATATGAATTGTGAAGTGTAATAAAAAAAAACTGAACAGATCCCCTGAGACAAAACATTCATATGAAACAGCTATGAGACATGCAGTGCAGTGAGAGGAATAAGACGGACAACGGCGCCACCTGGTGACTCACTCTGCGAAAACTAGAAAGGGGAGCAAGTTCAGGCCTCATGGCTGACATTAGCCCAGTATAGCCCTGGGAAAAAGGATACAAAAAAGCAACAAAACAGCAAAATCAATTTTAAATTCCACACAAGATTTTTTTTACAGTGTTGTGCAAATGTCTTATGGGGTTTTAATGCAAAGTGTAACATTCGTGCTTTGCCAAGATGTCAAGAAAAGAGATATTGCCCCAATTTGTGCTTGGAAATGTGTTCTACAGACAAAAACAAAACAATTTATCTCTTACCTTAATGATAAAGTATCATGCATTAAAACTGACTATTAGACTTGGGTTTAGTCCAGATTTAGCTTTGGTCTAGTCCTAGTGGTACAGACAAAACCAAAATAATACCACAAATCCAGGAGGTAGCAATCTACAGAGCCAATAATTATTAGGAGGTCAAAGAAAATAGAATAAATTGCCACAAATAAATCACTCACGCTGCAATAAAACATTTGCACAGTACTATATTTATGATTATATAGCTCAGCAGCAGAAAAGGAAACAGGCAGTATTACAGACAGCTGTACTCACGATGGCTGCACCGGTCCTTTCAGACGGAGGGATCATATCAGGGGTCAGGGCTGTAGGAGGGTCCACATCTTTAGTGATTTTTTGTTGGATCAGGTGCATGGCCAGAGAGAACTGCTCACGGTTCAGCTTTCCAGTCTGTTTTGTGTCAGCAAGACCCCTTTAGATACAATGAGAGTTAATATTAAGAGATATTATTACGCTATATTTTACTTCATGTTTGGACCATACACAGATCATGCTGAGGTTTGGTACACAATAACCTTGTATAAAAAAACATTATCGTTATGCATCTATTCACTTGGTCCAGAAAAAAAATTACGCAATATAAATTCTTCTTATTTTCAACCAAATCATTTGTTCATCATGAAGTGAGAGAAGAATATACACTGTGGACTCAAGATACAGCAAATACACATATTAAGAACGATGAATGTAATTTTATTAATTGCCCACCAGATGGTGCCAAAAGATTAAGAAGAGAATCGAGAGGCCTTTACTTGACTTTACTCAAATTTGTTCACAAAAATGTTGCCTAGATAATTTTATTTTCTACAGTTATCAGTTGTACACAACCTAGATTTTCAAAGATCAGTGCCATGGTACGGAGTAGTCTCATTACTTTATATTACATTAAAATTAGCATAAATGTGAACCCAAGTCACTGAAGCAGGTCATGTGCAGTTTAGCCTCACTTGTCTGAGGCCCAGCCTGTCAGAGGGCTTTAGTGAAGACCCAGACTGAACCGTGTCACTCAACAGCACTCACCACAATTCTGTATAGCCAACTATTGTTGCCTCCAAACCAAATCTCTTGTGGTAACTTATTTTCACCAAAACTGCTGTTACAAGAAATATAGGCATCTCCTTCAATTACAGCTCACAGAAGCATCCTTAAAGTGATTTCATATCAGAGAAGAATAGAAACAGATTGTGTTTCATGTATAAAATGTGTCTCACCAAATCTGAGCTAGCATGGTTTGTGACAGAGTGGATTGCATGAAGATCTCAATGACCTCAGCCCCATTGACCAGTCCGTCTCCATCTGCATCTGTTTTTCTGAACAGATCATCATATTTCTCCCTGTCCGCCAATGGGACAATCCAGTTTACAGTCGGCTGCAGACAAAATAACAAGAAACAACAGTATTTGTATTTTATACATTTATACATTTTATATATTTGAATGTTTTTTTAGGACTGACAAAATATAAAATAAAAAATAAAAGTAAAATCTGACAATTCCGGGAATGTAGAATCAGTTTCTGGAAATGTTTTGGTTGGGAGATGGTTGTAGAAATAACAGTGATCAAACTGGCCGGGCCAGAGTCCTCAACAATGTGGCAAAACAAGTCTTTCCTTTAGACACTGACAAGAAGAAATATATTTATGTTACAATTCAACTTTGTCTTTGAAGATAGAAAAGATAAAGATAAGTAGAGCTGTGCCATTCACCAATTTTTTACTTAAAATTCATGCTTAACAAATACAAGCTTAAACCATTATCTTGCTGGCCTGGGAGTATGCCAAGTTAACAGCAACAGATACCAGGACAGCTCAGTTTCTGGTATCTGGTTGCTATGCTTAAAGGTGCTCTATCACCCACAGGTAAAGTGAACAGAGTGGGGATGACAGCAAACAAAAGTTACATCGTTACACTCATGGGACTGCACCTTTCTTCACAAACTTCTTCACAAACTCAAAGATTTTTTTAAGATCAATTTTCAATCAATTTTCATGCAGTTAGTAACTTTTGGTTCCATTTAGAGGTAACTCAGGCCATCTGTTACTTTTGAAAGTTCACACATCACTGTGATTGGTTAAATCCAGCTGTCACTCACGCAGAGACCACTTAAAGACTTAAAGAGATCAACCAATATATAGCAGGAGCAAGATCTGTCTTTAAGCATAGATACGCATTCAACAGAACAGAACTAAATCAATTCACGATCTGACAATATTACCAAAACAGCATATTCTCAAACTGAGATCACTTTTTTTTTTTTTACTTTTTTACTGCCATATCGCCCAACCATAACCAGACTCTTTTAAATATTAGGTACAGTACGCTAAGACAAAAAAATATATAGATATATAATATAAAGATATTGTTTCCTTGAACCCAAGTTACTCCACCTGAGAGCAAACAGAAGGCAGTAGTGGAACTGTGATAAGCTGACAAAACACTCACGCATAATTAGAAACCGCCTTTTACAAATGACTACCCCCTGTGAAAATAAACAGTTGACACTTCAACTTAGCTTGCATTTTTACTCTGATGACACGTGAAGTCTCAGCTTTTCCTGTCTAAAGTTAATGTGTGCATCATTTGCCTCATAGCATGAAAATACTTCATAGAAAAACAGATGTTGTGTCAACTTGCAACCTTGGAAAATTGAGAATACACTGGGGCATAATCATTAGCAAAAAATGACAGCTGTATATTTGTAGATATGTTATGATAGAGTATTTGAATATCATATTCATAAATAGTTTAATATTATCCATTCTGAATTATGATGTAATCATATGGGTGTAAGTTCTTGGATAATCTCGCTATCAGGCAGACAATATTTTCACAATGCATCAGAATTATGCTAAAATGAGCCAGGAAATTATTGAAGTGTCACAGATAACATTAATTGGCCATAAAAGTAAGAAGTGCAGAAAGAAAATTATATTTATATTATATTCTTGTTTGGAGGATTACACTAGACTTGTGTTCCTTGTATAATAGTTCTAATTACAGATGATATACTGACTACAAATGTTGCCTATTGTGATGTCATAATTTATTATAAATTATGTTTCTATTGGAGTGATCCCACAAAGAGCAAATAATATTTAGTCAATCAGTTGACTAGTAGTTGGCATCACAATGTCTTATTAAGTTTTAATTATTGTCATTTGTGGATACGGCCTGACTAAAGCACCATACCTGTGGAGAGGATCTGAAGGAGTGCTTTGGTGAGATGTTGACAGTGGTGGGGGGTGGAGTGTTGGCCAGAGGAGGAGTGGAACGCAAGGTGTCTTTAAGAAGAGCTGATCCGGGCGAAAACCCTGCGAAACCGGGTAATACAGCCACTGCCCCAGGTAACGCCCCCGCAGTCTTCTTCCTTTTCGAGGGTGGGATGAGAGACTGTGGTAATGTTGTTGGGACAGGCTCCTTCTCCATTGCCCGATATACAAGATGCATAGCCTAAACAAATAAAAATTATTGTAAACCATTTAAATATTCATGTCTACAGGTCAATAAAAAACTCTTAAGTGGAATTAAACAAACTAGAACAATTAATTTAGCAAAAGTTTCCAATTAACTGAGGAAACTATGGTGCCCAGTGTTGGTCTAAAATTCCCTCTCCGTAGTCTAAAAGGTACAAAATCACTCTTTGTTGCCAACTGCAATATGATAAATATTTAGGAGTAACTATACAGGCCAAAAGGACAATAAATACTGTGTATACTCATCAATTTATAACTGTGATATAAATAAATATAAATACAGTGTATTTGTTTTTTACTTACTGTACTTTTTTTACATTTATACAATTTATGCCTTATTTGACACCAGTCTCTTGGTATTTTTTATTGCTACTTATTTAAATG